TGCTACACCAAGTTTGATTGAGCTAAATATGAACACTCATATGTACGGGCTTAATGAAACACGTTTAAAAGAAAAGAGGACAACTTCATTTGAAGCCATGGATAAAGCATATCAAAATGAAATGTTAGAGATTGAAAATGATACCGAAGCAAGTGTCTGTAAACCAAATTGCATTTGGCCGTCGACTGAAACTGGTTTTCCACTTACTGAAGATATGCTTGTATATCTGGATGAAGTATTTGTAAACTCAAAACGAGGCTCTCAGATGTTTGATGAATATGTAACAACAAATATAGAGAAGAGAAGAAAAGACAAAGAACTAGAAGGTGTATCCGAAAGTTGTGCGACAAGTGCAGTTGTAAATATAGAGAAAGAATATATAGTAGCAGACAGCAATTTGTTTGGAGACGTTTTAGACAAAAACGAAATTGGTCCAATTTCATCTGATACAATTGTAGACAGAACAGCCGATAACGACAGCGATGCTTTGAATTGTATCGGCCCGGATACTTTTGGTGACTTTCTAGATAGAGAGTCATATAATTCAGTGAGTAAAGATATAGGTGCAGTTGATGAAATGCCAAATAGTGACACACAAGGTATATATGATACCTTAATAGCTTTAGAACCAAATGACGAAATCGTAGACATAATAGAATCAGATGACGATATTGTAGACTTTGAACCAATAGCTCTCCAAGATGATCAAGACGAAGTCGACATAACAGAAGCTAGCAATGGCATTGATGATACATATATTACATACAACGATATTGCTGGCGATGATGATAACCTCTTTGGTATCATGGACATCTACATAAAGAGTGATCTACACTTCGACTTACACAACGTAAGTACTTTGCGCACTAATGATTGATTTTTTATCACTATAAATGCATTTGAATGATTTTTTTCACCAACTGATTTGATACGCGAGCACAATGTGTCACGAATATTTTATTGTTATCGTTAATTAATTAATTAATTAATTAATTAATTAATTAATTAATTATTTATTTATTTATTTCAGATACCAGCATCAGCCGAGCTCTTTGACAAGAAGAAAGACTTTGGATATAAATTCTTTTCATTTTCAACGTTCTTTAAATAATATAATAAAGACTAGAAAAATAGGTTTCAACTAAGTTATTTTTATTGTGCCATAGATGGTATCTTAATCAGACAAAATCCTGCTAAAGTAACTATACACTCGGCGGCACTTATAACCCGACACTTACATTTTTCGGTATAATTTGGTTATTTGTAACTTAGACCATACAAAATTCAACATATCATACTTACTACTTAGAATTTTGTTTACAATTCATTGACAATAAAAAAGTAACAAAACAAATAGGCTTCTGTAAAATGAAAAATCACACAATGACTGTTAATATCGTAACAAAATGAACAGTCTCTGAATCCAACTAAATATGTATGTTAGCCAGTTCTAATACTTATTGTGTCCTCCCATGGCTATAACAACGTGTAAACACCTCTGTCTCATGGAAATGGCGTAGTTTCTCATGAAGGCTTGGTGAATATTTCTCCATTCCCGAACAAGGGCCAGGAACTCCTTCTGCCTCCCAAGACACCAGATCTAAACAGCATTGAACACAGTTTGTGGGATGAGTTGAACGCAATTTGCTTGGAACTCGAGCAAGTCCATGTTCAGGAATGGAGAAATATGAGACATATGTGTTTACTTTGTTATAGTCATGGGAGGACATGGATTTACTTTCTGAAATGTGAATATTTCAACCTGCGTGTATACTTCTGCTTGGTTATTTAATAGAATTAACATTGCTAATGCGAATACGATATTACTTCATTGCACAAGAGACTTAAATGTGTTATTTATGTCTCTGATTGCACATCAATTACTTCTCTCTTTTATTTAAATGCTTGTATATTATACGCTATTTTTTCATTGCACATTTCTATAAATTCAACAGAATCATTATTTCAATTCATTGTGTGCGATTGCTTAATTGCAAATTGCTTCTCACTTTACAGAATTTGTGTAAATGACTATAAAATATAGCGTCATGATGAAGTAGAATTATTGGTATGTCTACAGCCTTAGCCCTAGTGATATTTTTCTTTAATTACTTTACTACTTATTTTCTTAAAAACAATAAAAAAAACATCATATTTGTTACTGACAGTAGCATCTAAGATGCAGTATAATAGTGTAAGAAGAAAATAAATGTGTGATTTATAAAATAAACAACAAACTCCTTGATAAAGAAGGGTTTAACCCCTCGAAAAGTTGGAGGTTGAAAAAGATAGTTAATTATTAATTGTTTCCAGTGTGTTTTGCCTCAAAATGGCTCTCGTGTAACGAACACATTTTTCTATAATATCACTGTTTACTTCTATCTGTTTAAAAATTACCTGCTTTTTTTTTTTTTTTTTTTTTGTTTTTTTGCTTTTATGTATTCTGAATTCAATGAAAGATAAATAGGTGATTGGTTCATTTTAGGACAAACACAGTGCCAACCAGTAAAAAGGCATTTTCGGGAAAGACTTCAGTTTGTCAGACCTAAAACTAAGGGTGATAATACAATGATTTTGATAAGAGTTATGTTTTTGGTCCACATTTGGGCAAGCATAGTTGATTAAATTTGTATGGTTGATCCAACAAAAGGCCAATGATGATGATGATGATAACAATTATGATGTTGGCCCAACAGAGGGCCAGCAATAACTTAAATTTATGTGGTTAGCCCAATGAAGGGCCAATGGATATGATTTAAATTGTGTAGTTGCGCCATCGAAGGGCCAACGATGATGAAGAAAAAAGTGAAATTGGCCCAACAAAGGACCAATTATGATAACTTAATTTGTGCTGTCAGCCCAACGAAGGGCCAACAATGAGGACTCAAAAAATGTGATTGGCCCAATATTAGGGGCAAACGATAAGGACTTGAAAATCAGTCTTGGACCAACGATATACCAACGGTTGGCTCAACGTTGCCCCTATTAGCAAACTGGCATTGGGCCAACGTTGGCAATCTTTATTGGGCCGACGAAGAAAACGTCATTGGCCCAACGTTGGGCAAACACCCTTCCGCTATCTGGGAAAGACTGGAATTCTTTACAAGAAAAAATTAGGTCAATAGAAAATATCCAAACATTAAAAACGAAGTTAAGCTTTTCTTAAATAATGAAAATTACAAAAATATTAATAGCGAGCTCGCCGAGCTGGCCCGAAGGGCCTGCTCGCAAAGCGAGCTTTACGGTAACGCGAGTACCTGCTAAGTGATGGTTTTGAAAACTTTCGTCCAAAGTACCGAATTGGACACATCGCAACCTTTCGAATTTAAAGATAACGATAAAAACTGAGGAATTCTGACTGAAAACGGATGTGTAGACTGGTCACCCGCGCACGTCTATGGGAACCATAATTGGACAGGGAACCAGAATAACGGAAGCTGTGTATAAAAAATGAAAATCGAAGGCGCCATTTTGTTTGAAATCTGATAAATAAAAACAATTTTTTGTCGAATTTTGTTGTGAAAACTATCTAGAATGAAAGAAAATGGTCTAACTAAGAAAATGAATCCGAACACCAATATCTTTTATTCAGTCGTTAACGCTGTACAGACGTTTAAAGTATTGTTTACGTGACGTCACAATGTAGCGCCAAACAGCGCGTGCAAAACAAACAAATCAAGTACGCTATTTTAATGTCGCAAACGTTTTAAGTTTTACATTTATTTCACTTTAAATAATCTTTATTTCGCTTGAAAAATTATAGAGTGAAATAAAATAAACATAGTTTTATAAACGTTTTCAAAACTCGTTATTCATTTCACGACAGGGGCGGAGCCATATTTAACACGTACAGTACGTGTGACGTCACACGCACTCGTCACTGCATTTGAAATAAAAATGAGCGATTATTTCATATAATACTATTTCACGTAAAAAGTACATCGAGCTCGCTTTGAGGCTTTGCCTTCTTCATATTATTAAATTATACATTATTTTAATTCTATGATTTATACGGGGAAGTCAAAGACCGGGCCCGCAAAGCGGGTCCGGGCTTTGGCTTGCCCGGCTATAGACTACACGTGTATATTAAAAAGAAAATCAAATAAAAAACAATTAAAAATAAATATAGAATTCTAAACCTATCAATGAAATTTTCAGTGTCAGTTCTAGTCGGGCGCCGCCATTTACAATGTAACCCAATGATAATAGGCGGGGTTTTCCGATAACGGAACAAATCTCAACTTTTCGGATAAATCATAATCGTCGAGTGTTCCGAGTGAAAACGGAGGCGGTGCATGTAATACCGAATGGCACCTTTAAAACGGAAAGAATAAAAGGAATTTATAACGATTTCACCGTTCATAGGCATTGCCTAATTTCATATTAATGAATGTTTACATGTTGATTTTTTATTTGATAATATATTAGTTTATACGGAATTTATTTTAGTGTGTTTGCGTACAATGTATTTGTCTCATAACATCGAAAAAATATGTCTTGATTGTGGTACAATGTTGACAAGATTTTTGCATTTATTTTAACTTTAGAATAATTCATTTATCATTATACAATTGAGTGTGTTGATACAGGCACGTATATATATGCACAGGAACTTGAAATTTAATCAATAGATCACAAAATATGCGTGTATTAGTGATATAGCCCTTATCTCTATATAAAAGGGCTATATCACTAATACACGCATATTTTGTGATCTATTGATTAAATTTCAAGTTCCTGTGATATATGTTAATATATATATATATCTGGTAAATATTACAATTATTGGATCCCATGTTATATTTTTGTTGCATTATTTTGTTTTTTTAAATGAATGTTGATATATGTGACAATATTCATAATTGTGTTAATGTATAGTTCCATGAATAAATCTATACGATATATGTTACACCACGGTCGACGAGTACTCTTAGCATTTCGTATGTCTTTAGCTAATATGTCTGTAGCTTAGTACGACCCCATTGCGCATGCGTTACCTTACGGCGGAAATTTCAAAATGGCGACTGAACTGTCAACAGATGATACACCGCAAAAACAAAACTTAAAGATAGATTGCAAATGTTGCAGATCAGTTGTAGCTCTTTTACAAGTCACAGAAAATCATATCATGAAGTTATTCGAAGATCAAAATGAAAACCTCATTGGTACAGATGTGTTTCAGGTTATATTTTATTTTTATGACCGAGTTAACTTTTTAGTTTTTAATTTGCTGAGGGAAAGCTTAATGCTAGAATCTAGTAGATCAACATGCAATTTAATTTGTTTGTTGGCTGATTTTCAGTTTGTGCAAGTTATACGTTTGCAAAATAAAAGCATCCAAGACACGGATTTGTTACGATTCGTCCCACGGACAATTCGCCCCACTTCGGAATATTATATGAATTTCGGACCACGGACGTTTCAGACCGGACACTTCGGACCAGATTTTATGGTCATTTCAGACCAGATTTTGGGACAAATCGATTTGGACCATGATGGGGTCACTTCGGGCCAGAAATTTTTATTCAAGGGACCATTTATTTCTTTTTATATATAATTTTTTGTTATTTTAGGGTGTAATTACAATGTTTTCTTATGATAAATGCAACAAATATTTGACATTATTATATTTTATGATATTCAAAAGGCATGCAGAAAAGACCAGTGCTACGAGATTTTCACATTTCCCGACAAACTTATATATTATTGTTTTGATTATCTATGTAATATATTTAAATTATGAATTTCTATACGCCATTTCTATACATATAGATAATGATACGCTATATTTAACTTTCTAAATAATTGAAATTGATTTACATCCTTGTCAATGTAAAGATCATTAGTATGTATGTGTTTGTAAGATAATGTGGCTATATCCTGGATTAGACCCCGGGGTCTAAACCAGGAGAATATATAAGGTTCATTCCGTTTTCCTTAGTGTATTATATGGTGTATTATATTACAGGTTTTACTCCTGAAAAATGCATAGGGGTCTAAACCAGGAGATTGCCGATGTTGTAAATAATCTATTTTGTCATGTCTTTTTGTATATACTTTATAATAAATTGTTTGTAAAGTTGTAAACGTTTCTCACTAAAACATTGCCTTTCTTAAAGTTTCTTTCTTTTTTTAATTTACTTCATTTATAATCTAAAATGGGATAGGTTAAAAATCGTTCCATTGTGTGTCATATATAATATACTAAAGTTACTCTTTAGTTTATAGAATAATTGATTCATATAAATATATCAAAAAATAATATTTAGTCTGGTCCTAAATGTCCAAAACAATGGTCCGAAGTGTCTACCGCATGATCCGAAAGGTCCAACACATGGTCCGAAATGTCCCTAAATATGGATTGAAGTGTCCCAAAATCTGGTCCGAAATGTCCATGGTCCGAAATGTCCATGGTCCGAAATGTCCTATTACCTAATATATTCAAACACCCTTATTATATTATAGACACAGTGACACCCATAAATTTTGGATTTATAATAAAAAATTTGAACAAATCAAGTTTAGTGAAAACCTGGCAGATAACCATTAGTACTTAAACGCATGGTACTTTATTCTTTTTTATAAGTAACACCTAGTAACAGAATAAACCAATAATAACACTCATTATTTAAGAGATTTGACTTAAACTTGATAATTCCAGTTTGTTTACCATCAAAGTGGGGAATTAAGCACACCAGCATGGATGTTTGCTATTTTCGTGTCTGGGCAATATCTCGCCTCTACAAAAGCATGATTCTGACCCAGAATGAAAATATCTTGTAATCTAGCTTTAGCCTTTGGCACGTCAATATATTTTGACTAGAATGTTTTCACTTAAGTTTGTGATCAGTTGATGTGGTAATATTAAATCAGTTTATAAATTATGTAATTGGCAACTTTATAAATTTCTCATTTTAGACTTACAAAAAATTGATGATGTCAAATATTCTGATGAAAGGTGAACCTGTAACAAAATATGATGCTGCTCTTGACACCACTACAGGTTTGTTAACTCCCAAATTTGGCATAAAATGAAATATATTTGTTTACCAAACATTATGGTTTATTTTGTTGGTATAATGTTAAATTTTATCTTCAAAGTCTTTAGAAATAAAATATAATAATAAAAAAAAATCAAAAGTTTGTAATAAGTTAAAGTAACTGTTAATAATTTTGTGACTGTCATTGAAAATTACATTTATAATATCCAAAATATTCTGTGCAAGGATATTTAATTTTTAAAATATATTATAGATTAGTGTTAAACTGCTATCCTGTAATGGCACAGTATTAATGCTTATGATATTTCAAAATGACTTCATAATTTATGTATAGATATTCAACTGCATGTATTATTGATCAGTAGCATTTGTGTTTTATAGAGGGACACATTTGAGTAGAAAAATTGACTTGGTATCAATTAACAAATAATTATAACACTATGCTTTTATTAGCTCACCAGAGCCGAAGGCTCAGGGTGAGCTATTAGTATCAAAGGGGGATACTCCGGCAACCGTCGTCATGCGTCAACAATCGTCTTCTTCTCTGAAACTACTGGGCAGATTTACTTCAAATTTGGTCTGTAGCATCCTTGTGACAGTCACACTTGAATTTGCTCATGTCAATCCAATTGGCCCCTTTTAGGGGTCATCAGAGCTAAAAATAGAAAAACCTTTAAACATCTTCTTCTACAGAACTAATGGATGGATGATCACCAAACTTTGTCTGTAGCATTCTTGGGTAGTGTTTTATCAAGTTTGCTCATATTAATTTGATTAGCCCCTTTTAGGGGTCTCTAGGGCTAAAAATAGAAAAAAAAACTTTAAACATCTTCTTCTACAGAACTAATGGATAGATGATCACCAAACTTTGTTTGTAGCATTCTTGGGTAGTCTTTTATCAAGTTTGCTCATATGAATTTCATTGGCCCCTTTAAGGGGCCGCTATAGCTAAAAATAGAAATACCTTTAAATGTCTGTTTCTATAGAACTAATTGATGGATGATCACCAAACTTTGTCTGTAGCATTCTTAGGTAGTCTTTTATCAAGTTTGCTCATATTAATTTGATTGGCCCCTTTTAGGGGTCTCTAGGGCTAAAAATAGAAAAACCTTTAGACATCTTCTTCTACAGAACTAATAGATGGATGATCACTAAACTTTGTCTGTAGCATTCTTGGGTAGTCTTTTATCAAGTTTGCTCATATTAATTTGATTGGCCCCTTTTAGGGGCCACTATAGCTAAAAATAGAAATACCTTTAAACGTCTGTTTCTATAGAACTACTTGATGGATGATCACCAAACTTTGTCTGTAGCATTCTTTGGTAGTCTTTTATCAAGTTTGCTCATATTATTTTCATTGGCCCCTTTAAGGGATCTCTAAAGCTAAAAATAGAAATACCTTTAAATGTCTTCTTCTACAGCACTAATTGGTGGATGATCACCAAACTTTGTCTGTAGCATTCTTAGGTAGTCTTTTATCAAGTTTGCTCATATTAATTTGATTGGCCCCTTTTAGGGGCTGCTATAGCTAAAAATAGAAATACATTTTAACGTCTGCTTCTGCAGAACTAATTGATGGATGATCACCAAACTTTGTCTGTAGCATTCTTAAGTAGTCTTTTATCAAGTGTGCTCATATTAATTTGATTGGTCCCTTTTAGGGGCCGCTATAGCTAAAAATAGAAATATCTTTAAACGTCTGCTTCTGCAGAACTAATTGATGGATGATCACCAAATTTTGTCTGTAGCATTCTTTGGTAGTCTTTTATCAAATTTGCTCATATTTATTTGCTTAGCCCCTTTTAGAGGCTAAAAATAGAAACCTTAAGATATCTTCTCCAACAGAACTAATTAATGGATGATCACCAAACTTTGTCTGAAGCATTCTTAGGTAGTCTAAAATTTATCAAGTGTGCTCATATTAATTTGATTGGCCCCTTATAGGGGCCACTATAGCTAAAAATAGAAATTTCTGCTTCTACAGAACTAATTGATGGATGATCACCAAACTTTGTCTGTAGTATTCTTAGGTAGTCTTTTATCAAGTGTGCTCATATTAATTTGATTGGTCCTTTTTTGGGGCCGCTATAGCTAAAAATATTAGGAGCAACTAAAGCTAAAATGCCCTGGGCGATGGCATTTCTTCAAATTATAGTTTAATAATGAAAGGAAAATAACTCATGTTGGAATTTTCCATATATGTGTACATGCAAACAAATTGAGTGGGGGACACCTTTCTCCTGTCAAATTTTTAAATATTTTTCTTACAATAAGGGGTGTTTTAAAAAAAATAAAGAAATCTCCCTTCTTTTTCATTTCAAAATTTCCTGTCAATTAAAAAATCTCCCTCTTTTTGAAGTAAATTCTCCCTCTTGAAAAAAAGTTCACATGTACATGTTAGGCATAAAAAAAGATTGAATATGTCTTAATGTCATGACCTGTTTGCTTTACAGAGATCTGAGGTCAATGTTCTTTGTATCTTTCCGTTTGTGCCCTAGAATTCAGATGGCCATTACATCATTCTAAGGTCTAAAAAAATGTTTCATTTGTTTCTGAAAATGTCAAAGACCTTCAAGTTCAAAAGTCCAAATTTTTGGACCACCACCACCATGCATTCCACCTACCAAGCATGCGGACCACCACCAGCATGCGGACCACCACCAGCATGCAGACCACCACCAGCATGCTGACCACTCCCAACATGCGGACCACCGCCAACATGCAGACCACCGCCAACATGCGGACCACCACCAGCATGCTGACCACCACCACCATGCAGACCACCGCCATCATGCCGACCACCGCTACTATGCGGACCACCGCTACTATGCTGACCACCACCAGCATGCCGATCATCACCACCATGTGGACCACCACCAACATGCGGACCACCACCAACATGCGAATCACTGCCAACATGCGGACCACCACCAGCATGCGGACCTCTACCACCATGTGGACCACCATCAATATGCGGACCACCACCAACATGTGGACCACCGCCACCATGGGGATCATCACCACCATGCGGACCACTGCCAACATGCGGACCACCTCCAACATGCGGACCACCACCAACATGCCGATCATCACCACCATGTGGACCACCACTACCATGCGGACCGCAACCGCCATGCAGACCACCACCAGCATATGGACCACCACCATAATGCAGACCACCACCATGTGGACCACCACCAACATGCGGACCACTATCAATATGCAGACCACCACCAGCATGCGGACCACCACCACCAGCGGACCACCACCACCATGCGTTCCGCAACCATCATGTGGACCACCAATACCATGCCGCCCACCACCAGCATATGGACCACCACCATATTGCAGACCACCAACATGCGGACCACCACCAGTATGCGGACCACCACCACCAACGGACCTCCACCAACATGCGGCCACCACTATCATGCGGACCGCAACCACAATGCTGACCACCGCCACCATGTGGACCATCACTACCATGCGGACCGCAACCGCTATGCGGCCCACCACCAGCATATGGACCACCACCATCATGCTGACCACCACCATGTGGACCACCACCACAATGCTGACCACCGCCACCATGCGGACCACCATCAATATGCGGACCACCACCAGCATGCGGACCACCACCACCATGCAGATCACCGCCGCCAACATGCAAACCACCATCAATATGCTGACCACCACCAGCATGCGGACCACAACCACCAGCGGACCACCACCAACATGTGGGCCACTGCCGACATGCGGACCACCACCAGCATGTGGACCACCACCACCAGCGGACCACCACCAGCATGTGGACCACCAACACCAGCGGACCACCACCAACATGTGGACCACTACCACCATGCGGACCACCACCACCATGCGGACTGCAACCACCATGCGGACCACCACCAGACAGACAGATTAAATTTATAAAAAGGAAACGTTAAGATTTGTTCAAACATTTCTTTGTTTGCTTAAAGAAAAAGTAAAGAGTCGAGCGTTGCCCCCACCTGGCGGTGGCTCTTGTTTAATCTTTGTGCTTTTTAAGTATCAGTTTCAATTATTTCTATTCAGAATCACATTTTGCAAACTTGGTTATCACTTGTTGAAAGTAATTTTGCACTGTTTCATACAATGTATGTAAAGTTGTTTTCATGTTCACTGAATACATTTCATCAAAACAACCTTTTGCCTTTTTCCTCTATGTAGTTAAAGATACAATTTTTCTCATTTCTATTAGAGAGTAAGATAATTAACCAGAAATGTTAACTTTCTGGTCAAGTTGACTAGTATACCTATGTTATCTTAAATAAATATTGACCGGTGGTGTCATCCTGACAAACAGTATACATGTATATCTAAATACTGAGATTATATAATTATCTAATTTTTTAGATAATTAGAAAAAAAGAAGAAAGATCCCAATTTTGAAAAACAGTCATAGGCAAATTTTATCACAAATTAATGGATGGATGATCACCAAACTTGGTTCCTATCATTTTTACTATAAAGAAAAAAACAATCAGTGTCCGGAAACCTTATAACTAGAGAGGTGAGTTGAAGTTGACCTGGACTTCTCTTTCTACAAGTTTATTTGAAAAAAATATTTCTATAATCACTGAAACAGTTGTTTCTGGTGAGCGATTCAGGGCCATCATGGCCCTCTTGTTTTAAATTGTCTTTAAATATTAATGATCTAGACCATGTTAGTATGTACCAAGTTAGCAAAGTTTAAATATATATGTATAATTATTTATTTATTTTTTGGATTATTGTAGAGTTTGAACCATTTGATGTAGAGAAAGAGAAATACATACAACATGATTTGATGGAACGTTTAGACAGACACTTTGTCAGTACAACAAGGTTAAGAAAATCAGCATCTAAGCAAGTTAGACGGAAAGTTAAGTCCTTGATAAGACCAGAGCTAAAATATGTGGTAATGAATTTTTATTGCAAATGTTCATGTACATTGTATGGCTCAGAAATAAAAACATTAGCATACTGTTAGTTATAGATATTTTAACAGAAAGTAGAGATGTGATATTGGTACCATGTTTTGTTTGGTTAAAGTTTTGTATATGAGGTGATAGTAAATATAAATGTGACATTATATTTCAGAATATACCAAGATATGAATTAATATTGCCAGTAGACAGATTTTGTGTTATCAATTTAACTATGCCTGGTAGGCAGACTGCTTGGCCTACCTCTACACATATAAATTTATCCTCTTGCAGTTATATTTCTTATTATCAGAATAGGCATTAGTTTTTAAGGTTAGTGTTACAATTATAACTTTTTTTTTAAATTTGTTATCAAAATTTTTGTAACACGTCATCTCTGATCATGATGTTTCTTCATACATGTGTTTTATTTTATAGTCAATGTATATGAATTTAATATTAATACAAAAGCCACTTAAAATTTAGCAGGTAACAGTATGGAGTTTGGTTCAAATGTACAGATATGCAGGTTGGCACAACACTTTAAGGCACAACTTATTAAGAATTTTAACCCAAAGGTGACAGTTAATGGGAAAAATAGCCTATCAACCTTAAATTTACCTTTAATTTTGTATACTCCAGTCTGTCAAGAAAATTATCAGAAAAAATGTTTTCAGGTCAAAGAATTGGAATTGCCAAAGAAAAGTTGCATTGTGGTATAAAGATTCATGTCATTGAAGCCATATGATTATTGTACTGGAATGTGTTTATATAACGTTTCATCATTTCATGGTTTAGTAAGGTTTTATTGGAATATATTCACATTTTCTTTAACTATTTCAGGCTTTACTATCAGTTGATACAAAGTCAGAGAGAGAAAATTGTATGGAAACAGACACAGCAAATGTTTGTGGTTCTGTTAATCTGGAGGAAGTAGAAGAAAGAGTACAAGGAGCTGTGGATACATGTTCATATAACAAACAAGTAAGATTTCCTCAAAAATGTTTTTTATATTACATTGCCTTACAAATATTATATCCACACGTTCCATCACCTTACCCACGTTCCTTCACCTTTCATATATTCCCTCACACACATTCTATCACCTTACACATCATGACATGTTCCATCATCTTATGGCTTACACATATCCTTCAACTTACTCACATTACATCACCATATACATAATACAAAATCTTACACACATTCCTTGACCAAACACATGATCGATTTCTCCTTACTCATATTCTGCCACCTTACACATATTCCATCACCTCAAACACATATTCTATAACCTTACACACATAGATATGTTCACCCACATATTCCATCACTTGCCACACATATTCTATAATCTAAACCTTTCACAAATATTTTATTACATAACACACATATGTAAATTCACACATAAGCTAACACTATCATATTACACACATATATATGTTCACACACATACTCAGTAACATTTCACACTTATTATATGAACTTTCTTACATTAATATGCTCAAACACATATTCTATAATATTGGATATGAAAACACAATAGGGTAGAAATTGTTAAACCTTGGGTCAAGTTTATTTTCTAGTCACTAAACACTTAAAGGTAACCCTTTTTTCTTTGTAACTTGAAATACTTGTTTAGGGTTGTAGTAATAGTACTCAACTTTGCTGTTGGTTTTTGACATTGCTATGCACCTTACAAAGAGTTATGCTTTTCTTTATTTATTTATTAAATTTTATTTACTTACAGTTTTGTGGAGATATGCTGCAGAAAGCAAGGGACATTTCTCAAGCAATTCAGATATTTAAACAGTCAGAGAAAAGTGATATTGTGAAGGCAATGTACGAGACTCCACCAAATACACCAGTTGCCAAAAATGGACTTGACAAACAGTTGGAAAGTTCACGGAAAATATCAAAGAAGCTATTACCGTAGATGAAATAGATTGTTGTTATAACTATAAAAAAAAATTCTAGATCTGGCAAGCTGCTGTTGCCATTGCTTGTGTCATTGTGTAAGGACAAGATTAAAAAACTTATAGATATAATATAGATTTGTTGATGGATGTTTTTGATAGAACATCATTTTCTTTGGTATTCATTTTCATATTTATTACCAAGAAGAGTTCCATGTTGTGTAACCTATTAGTATGTTATATTTAAGCAAAATGAATTTTCATCTTAACTAAAATTTATTTAAGATTTTCTTTTTAAATCTTGATTCTAAATGCATGAGATTCTGGCTAGTGAAATCAATTATGTACATGCATCACCATATGTTATTTTCATGGTTAACCTTTAACCTGCTGTGAGTAGAAGTGATGAATCTTTGCCACCAGTATAGAGCCAGGACAGAGCTACACCACCGTGCCGTCTGACCAGGCTATTTACTGTTGGTAGATAACTTTTTTGATATTTTGATATAGGCTTATCATTCATCAAAGGTTGACAGTAATTATTCCCCTGTCTCTCCCCCTCTACCTCTTTCTCACTTTCTCTCTCTATCTCTCCTCATATTAAAGGAACTCCACTGAGGTCTAAAAGTCTGAAAACATAGAATTTGAATTTCTTGTATTGATTGGCAACAGAAAGATAGATAGGCAACAGCTGATTGAAATATATACCCAGAAATATGTACTGAACCAAAAAAGAAACTTTCGCAAGGTATGTGCCAGTTGTTCAAGGGTACCACTTAGATGTACACACTTATATACATGTAGTAGCTTGTAAAACTCGTTTTGTTTGCAAAATCGGTCAGCTAATCCCCGTGTAAAAGCCCGATATGTTTATTCAACGTAAAAATCGAGTTTCAAAAGGATTGAAAAACTGTACTAACATATCTACATTCAAACTTGGAGAAAGTTTCTTTTTTGTTTCAGTATATAATATATGTATTTTTATCTTATTCTTAGCCCAAGTTGATTGAAAAGGGAATTTTGGATCATTTGTCAATCCCTTCATGTCAAATAACCTCAGTGTGAGTCCCTTTAACCATAAGCCTGTGATTAGCCTTGCCACCAGGATAGAGAGCTAGGCTAGCCTACATATCTGTGCAGTATGACCAGGTTCTTTACTGTTTGTAACTCAATTTTTGAATTGTTTACGAAATCTTTGACTTTTTCAAATCCAAAGCTTGGCAAATCCATTACAGCAGGATAAGGGATAAATTCTCATATTCTTTAGCATGACCGGACAGTGTATTATTCATAGTGATAATACCATTGACTTGATTTGTAAATACTATAAATGCATATGTGGTAACAAAAAATTCGGAAAAAACTTGTCGGTGGGGAATGGAGTGTTATTTTTTATTTAGTCTACTTGTTCCTGCCTGTTCATGTGCTACAGATTTTACACTGAATGGTGCCAACAAAGGCTCTATCTTACACATATTTATTGTTACTTTGTTAAGAGTACTACAATATTAGTGGATATGTTTTGTTGTTGAGGCAGAGGGGTAACATGGTCGGGGCAGTAGTCTATTTAACACTAAAACAGGGGCAGTAACTGACAAAATTGATAAACTTTTATAATATTTTATTCATACAATCAGTGCATGTCATTCAATGAGATATTTATGAAATTTGTATATATATAAGTTGTATACCTTAACTGACAAACAGTATACAGGTATCATTTTGAAAACTATATTGTTTTAAATGTTAGAATAAATTCAGTAAATTAATATAATACAAACATTTTATGTTTTAATATATTGTCAAAATACTGATTAATTGCAACATGTATTTATATATGTCTTCCACACAGTACAATAAAATGTATATGAAATCTTAAATGCTAATTGTATTCATTTGTTTTTGAACATACTTAGTATGTAAATTTATCTGAAGACTCTTCAACCAAAATAGACGAAGAAATCCTGAACAAATTCACTAAAAAATAAGATTAAAAAACTTGTAACAGTACAACTAGTCTGACTTTACCAAAAGAAAGTTGTGCTTATATTACACTTAATCAACCTCATTCAGTAGGATAAGTGTGATTAAAGACAAACACATCATTAATGTAAGCCTTACAACTGAAATTGAGCCGTGCCATGACAAAACCAACATAATGTGTTTGCGACCAGCATGGATCTAGACCAGCCTGCGCAGTCTGATCAGGATCCATGCTGTTCGCTATCAGTTTCTCTACTTGTAATAGGGTTGGTAAGCGGACAGCGTGGATCCCGATCAGACTGCGCGGATGCGCAGGCTGGTCTGGATCCATGCTGGTCGCAAACGCACTATGTTGGTTTTGTCATGACGCGGCTCATTTGTTGTACAAATAAAAAAGAGACATTTATGATTTTTTTAAGTATACCAATATTAGCTTTACATATTGATTAACATTTTCAGATTTTCCACAAGAAGGAAATTGCAAATATTTACTACAAAAGATATAATTTCAAAACCATAGTGTTGATCAGTTGCAGTTTAAAGTGAAAGTTATGAAAAAAGGACCAGTGCTGATGCTTTTTCAGTCCAATATTTGCATTGGGAAGACGAAACATAAAAGTGGCTCATTGTTTTCATCCACCAACTCCCATTTTACTGCAAGTCGAATCTGAAAATAAAGAGATATTTCAATAAGAAGAAAATTAGATTCTTGTCTAAATGGATATCCTAATTCTACAGGAAAGGGATATAATGAAGGGGCAGAACTCTGTAGCCATTTTGTCAAAGTTTGCAACTATTTCGCTCGCTTGAAGCAATTGTACAGTTGTCTTGTATAGTATCTATAATCTAGTCATTATGAGTTACATTCACCTTACTCTCACATTAACTATACTTTATCCATGTTTCCTGTCAAAAACATAGTAAATGAATGTTACTCTTACAGTCAATATACAGTGCAACCTGGGTAGAGCAAGACTCCGGTAGTCGAAAGATTTTGGTTCCTAGTAAGAGGTGTTGCTGTACAGAGCTTAAATTTATTGTGAAGTCTTGCTTTGGGAAAACAATTGTACTGTTATTGTGAACAGGTAATTGCTCACTAGAGAACTACGTCCTTTGCTGAAGTTGTACTGTACTTGACCCTCAGATGAAATTATAATTCCCTCAAATAATATCTACATGTGTGTTACACCACGGACCTTAATTGACAATTAAAAGTCCGAAGTTACTGGCACATTAGATATACTTTAAATTCACGTAATATATGTAACTCCTTAAAGTAACTTTATTTATTTATTTATTTATTTATTTTTGGGGGGGGGGGGATTAAATTGGACCTACCTCTGGGTATGTTTTCAATACAGGGAATACATTGACATATCTGTGTGTTCCTGGTGTCAGCGGACAGATGAGATTACAACCCTGACAACCGTTAGACTTTGGTAGATTATACGGTATAGGGATGCCCGCTACTATACCGTAAACTTTAGTAGTGATTCCAAACACTGAAAAGCAACATTTTTTATGTATTGAACTTTGTTTAATATATTGATAAAGTTTGTAGTTCAATGTTGATAATATGTGTAGCAAAAATGAATTTATAAGATACAAGGTTAATATACAAAATGTATAGGATAACAGATGTTGTCAAATATTGAAGAAAAGTATATCGTAGTTAAACAATTGACAAAGATAATAGGACATTATCGTTTATATTTACATAAGATACATATATTTAAAAAAGAGTTTCAGTTTCCGACCTTTGTCTCAAAAACTGAGACGGTCAGTATTATAAACCATACTTTTCACAAAAAAGTAAAATACAGTAACACTCCTTTGGTGCCCATAATGTCCGGTACATGGGACACCATTGACCTCCCTCTACTAATAAAGCCCGAACTTAACCGTGTAAAAATACCAAAAAGAAATGCCAAATAAAGTGCAACACTAATTGAACAGACGTGATTTATATTTTATTTATTACCTTGTTTCTCTGTTGTAAAGTCTATGGTTACGGTAGCGTTGGTACCTTTATGAAAAACACACGGCAGTGATGGGCATGGTGACATATCCACATTTTTTAGGGTGTCTGGTCCTGAATGTAAAATGATAATACATGTACAGTAATCTCCACTTATAACAATATCGATTCTAACGATACCGCCGCTTATAACGATGCTGTTACTGCGGTCCCGCTTTTGTTTTCAAATTGGTTGCCTCTCGGCATACAACGATAACAATTTAATGGTCCTTTGCATATCGTTGTAAGCGGAGTTTACCTTATATTGATTAGGACAACTGTCTCTATTTGGACATATATGATTATTTATGTAAGACTATTTTGCTATTTTCGTTTAGATGTCTTCTTAACAAGGAAAACATAACTGTCTAAAATATCTCTATACCTTGAAAATTTTGCACTGTCATTGCCTCATTTTGTCGAAAGGGACAAAGGGGCTAAAAACATTCTTGGGTCAATATTACCCTTCCGCCATTCATATATACAACGACACCGTTTCTGCAATAGCAAATGACGCAAACATAACTTGGTTTTCAATAGTATTTTCGTCAGTGCATATAGATATTTGCGTTTGGTCTACAGCTCGACTTTATGACGATTTGTTTTACAGTGTTTGAACACTCTGACCATTTGGTAGATACTGACTAAATTACCAAAGCTTGTTTGTAAAATCTCATTAATGTGTGTATTCTAGACGACGTGAGGTGAATTTCTACTGAATAAAACTGTGCGAAACCAAGCTTAGGTACAGACAGCGATGTAGGAGCACATTTGTCTCGGAGCACATTTGTCTCACGAAGTGTGATCGATGTGTTCGTAAACATTCATATTTGCGACAATGATGATTGAAAATGAGACAGATGTGTTCGACACACAATAGAAAGGATGCTTGAAGCACATTTGTCTCACATTTTTCCATAAAATTATTAAAAGGTAATGATTATGCCCATCTGTATACCGGCTACCAGCCATTGTTCTGTGTTTTCTGTATCTATAATACCGTTTTGTGTTCACTTCCGGTCAGTCAAAAATGCATATGAGTCATTTATTAAATTATAAACAATATACCTATTCTGCATGTCACAATGAAAATTTTTACAAGTGCAGCATCCAGAACCTAAACACATATGCAGCAAGTCTATATTCTTATCGTTATTAATTGTGATACGTTTATTTTTCAATGCTTAAAGTTTTATAAATGTTTTATGGCACTATATATGGAAATATTCTTAGCAAAAACAAGGTAGTATCTACGGTGGCATAAAGGGAACATAGAATTTTCTTATTTGTTACGTGCGCACACGATAGCTTTTACGTGGCCACGCGATACTATTACGTGCGCACGTGATAGCAATTACGTGCGCACGCGGATATGTATTCCGCATTTGGACCCTGACCGGGATCCTCGGATGAATAGTTCGACGCCCCGTGTATGTGTCAGAGCCTACAGTGGTTAGGGGCAAGTTTTTTTTTTAAATCACTCGGCCACGGAGGCCCTTAAATGATCTATAAAAGAAAATAAGAAGACCATTACACACTATTTTGTTTTCATCAGAAATATATGTATAAAAAATCGTCATTCTCTCAGATCCGCCATTGAAAAAGCACTTAAAACATGCATGAGTTCCTGAAATAATCCGGGTTATGCCATAATTATGGAATATCGGGCCACTCAGAATCGGGCGAGACGCGACATTCCGATGAGACACGAAGCGAGACACGATATTGTAACACAAGATCTCGCAATGTCGAAGTATCCCGTACCACGAGATTTCCGAAATGAATAAGTTTTTACTTCTTTAGATAGGGCAAGTATGAATTTATTAATATTCAAATAATGATTTCTATGAAGTTAGATGCTTGTAAGCGATACATGTAAAATAATGCGTCATGAAAGTAGATATATGTAAACAAAGTAGTATTTTGACTTCAATACAAATTCTAAATCACTTCAACTGTACAAACTGCAAAAAAGCAGCAGATGAAACAATGCTTCAGGTAATTAGCCAATGAGTTACATTTTGGAGCTATAAAATAAAAGCTTTTAAAGAATACAAATAATAGCATTTCTCTGGCATAATGGGCCTTTAAGTGATTTTATGTAGACTATAAAGGGACTACTACTTAGCGGTATATGACCTGGAATCAATTTCTTGTCTCGCGTCGACGAACGAGATGAGCAGCGAGACGCGAGATTTCGCTAGACGCGAGATTTCGGCGAGATGCAAAACGAGTCACAGTATTATATCATTCAATATCAACCGATTACGGTCTTCCTTTTGGACATAAGTAACATTTTTGTCGAGACTCCCTGAACAGCTATGCACAATGGTACAAAAGTGAAATTGAGATGGTACGATGATTAAAACACGATGGCACGATAGTGAAATCACGATGATGCGATGACACGATAGAGAAAATAATATCGCGTTTTCATCATCATACCATCGCAGTTTCATCATACCGTACCATCGTATTTTCACCATCGTAACATCGTCTTTCACCATAGTACGATCACGTTTTCATCATCGAGCCTTCGTTGTTTCACCATCGTACAATCGTTGTTTTACTATCGCACAATCGTTGTTTCACGTTCGTACTATTGTGTTTTCACCGTCGCACCATGGCGTTTTCATCAACGTACCATCGTGCTATCGCACTGTCACCATTGTACCATCGTGAACAAGATTTAGAATGTTTCAGTGTACGCCTTCAGGTTAAGCCAATCAATTTTTTGAATTAGAGATATTATAATTAATAGTTCACTTTAAGTTTTCATCAAGAAAGCATAAGCAAACCTATTGATGATTACACTTGACATGAGGTGAAACAGCGGACCTCGATTCTAAAAAAAAAACTTCTGCCGTGGAGAAATGTATGACAAATAATTCATAAAAAAGACATGAGACAAATGTGCTTTATTGTCCCTTAAAAACACATGAGACAAATGTGCTTTCTTGTCCCTTAAAAAACTTGTTTGGAGCACATTTGTCACACAAATGAGTTTTTTGGGGTAGACATTTGAGGTCCCATTTGTCTCATGTGGGACAAATGCGACCGCATCGGTCTTATGTAAGACAAATGTGATCCGAGACAAATGTGCTCCTACACAGCGATGTCCGCGGAAACATGCTCTAGAGCAACGTGTGGACCATGCTGCTAATTCTAAAAGTGCATTAATACAATGTACATATCGAGATGTTATGATGTTGACACTTACAAATTGAACAAGGTCAACAAACAGACCAATTAGATGAATTGAACTTATTCACCTCCGATGATAAGCGATATTTTTATTTATTTAACTGTTCAATAACTATAAAGATAACTAGTGATAATATTAAATGTCCTCACTTTGAGGTTAATTTCGAGATCAAACCATCTTCTTATTGGTAAAATTGTCAGGATTATTCCTGGGATTCATGTTTTTCACACGACTTTAACCATTAAAATTATCTATATAAAATAAAAAAATAGGTAATTAAGAGATTCAGGGTTTTTTTTATTTACCCAGTTTTACTGATGTCCTATTATTATTATATTCTTAATCTACATTCGCGTCAATGGTAAATTCATCCATTTTTTCACGGGACTCCTAGATTCCAGTATAACAACTATGTATTGCAGAAATAAACGGTCAAATATACAAAAGATGAAAAGGCACTTCCCAAATTATGTTTTTTTTGGTTCCCCCAAAAAGCATTATGGGTGACAGTACGAGAGCAAAAAACAAAAAAACAATCGTATTAAAAGTCCATTTTTTTATCAATACAGAGGTACGTGCTTTTGAAAAATGCTCACAGTTTAATACACGGGTCATGAATTCCACGAGTATTTATACAATCATCATTCTAGATAGTACAGATAACGTAAAGACATGTTACTATCATAGACATGACAGTGACCGATGATAACTACGGAAGACTAATGGGGGCATCACAATTTACGCACTTTATACATTTGTAGTTAAGGTTACGAAAGTAATGAGGCACCACTTGTAAGATTTGCTCATAGAATTCCTTCAAAACAAATGTTAGTAGAATTAACACTTTTTTGCACAAATAAAACGCTTTAAAGAATGAATGACAAATTATTTTAAAAGTTTTAAAATAAAATTGGTTTGCACCGGTCAGTTGGATGGATTCACATTCACAAAACAATCTCTCTAAAGGTAAAGCAGAGAAAGTAAAAACAAAGTAGTATTTTAACTTCCATACAAAATACTAGGCTATATCTGTAATCATTGCCAAAAGAGAAAAGAAGCAGACGATGGTCCAGTTAATTGGCCAACGACTAACTTTTTGGAAACTATAAAAGGCACCAAAAGTTAAAAGCTTATCAGAAATAAAAAATAAATAAAAACATCTATGGGACATAATGAACCTTTAAAATGCTGTGACAAAAAGGTAAAAAATGCATTCATATATAGATGTACACAGCGTCCTCTGAAAGGTAGCCAATAACTTCTTTACAACAACAGTATCAGTTCTTTCCAGAGTAAGATTTGACAATAAATGTAACCCAGGCATTCGGCACGGCACATTTGTCTGGCCAAAAATGGTTAATTTTTTCATCAAATAATCCCCCTTGATTTACAATCCAGCATCCGTTTATCGTATATAATACACTATTTTTCATTAAGTATATATCATATATAGTAACGTTTGGATAGTAGTTTTGTTCTAATTGATCAAGGGGAGGTTATTTAATGATCATTTGACCTTTTTTGGTAAGACAAATGTCTCGGACGCCTGTGTTGCAATCCAGAATCATTGTTTCCAAAGGTTCTTGGTCTACAGAGGTTTTACTGTACACATTAACCACATTTGTTGAACTGCTTTATTGAGGCCCTGGGATGATTAAACATCATATGATTTCTGTCCTTGCCTTTAGTCGTACATAGTAAATTCTGATCCGAACTATAAGAAATCTTGCCAAAGAAAAACATTGACTACATTGAAGGAATTTCTGTACTAGTATAGGAATATACTAGTAAACGAAAAATTGAAATAACAGTAAGCACTGTTTATTCGTAGATACACATGTATTTAATCGTATATTAATATTACATTTTAATATCTTGTGTATCATTAACTTATTGGTCACCTAATCATTATAGGTGATTGGTCAACAAATCATTAACTGATTGGTCACCCAATGACTGATTGGTCACCAAATTAATCAATAAGTGACTTGTCATATGTATGAACTGATCTATAAATTTGACAATGATGTACATGCATGTATTGTAAATGATACCATTATAAAATATTCCACATTATATTAAAATTAGACAAACACTTAAACATTTTTCATTGGAGACCAAATCATGAGTTACAACTAAAGACATACGTATTTTACATACAAGACAAAAAATGTAATTTGATGATATATGTTATATAATTCAAATCGTGTAAAAAATTTAATAATTATATTATTTAACCTAAAAGGTTTAAATATTGATATTGAATGTTTACCATACGGGTCCATTAGATCCTTGAGTTGAACAAACAAGTTCAAAATAGTAACATTATCAAAGTTGGTGTTATTTAAAGTTTCTTTATCAAACTGTATTTCCTAATTCTTCATAACCATTTCCGTTTATAGCGTTATTTTTGCTCGCGACACTTCAAACTGATAATGAGGCCAAAACATAAAAATTGTCGAAATAGAAGAAATATGAAACAGCTTAACTAAATATAAATTGAAAAAAGGCCCTTTTATCCGAATACATGTAACATTCGTCTTTTGACGAATAAAAGCTATGTTGAAATATATGGTTGTTTTTTGTTTCTGAAAAGAAAATTTAGAAAAATCAAAAGAATATAACGGTACATCTCAGACTGTTTATTTCTGTGGTTCTAGTGAATAGTAAAAAAACATATAATGTGTGATATGTGTATAGATCTATAAGGTACATGTACATATATGAATAATTCAAAGCATAAACATGAAAATCACAATCGTGTGTTATCGCCTAAATCAAACTCTTCAATTTTATCATCAAATCCTTCATGTATATCTGTAGCCGACATTTTCCCGCCATTTTTCTGCTGACTGACGACCGTCCCTGGTTTTCTTGTAAACGATGGACATATTGGGCAATATCTCAACACGGAAATACCATTTAACCTGTCTTGTATACATGGAAGATCATAAACGCTTTGTTCGGACCGCTCTGTGTCTGTTCTTGTGGTACTATCCCCAATCCAAGACAGGATTCCTCGCTCTTTAAGTGTACCTATATAAAGTCAGAAATTATATCATGTGGATATATGAGCCGCGTCCCGACAAAAACAACATAATGGGTTTGCGACCAGCATGGATCAAGACCAGCCTGCGCATCCGCGCATTCTGATCAGGATCCATGCTGTTCGCTATCAGTTTTTCTACTTGTTATAGGGTTTGTAAGCGAACAGCATGTATTCTAATCAGACTGCGCGGATGCGCAGGCTGGTCTGGATCCATGCTGGTCGCAAACCCATTATGTTGGTTTTGTCGTGACGCGGCTCAATTATGATATTTCGGAGACTAGAAATACATTGTAGAAAATGATTTATGAAGTAAAGTGGCGTAAACAATATATCTTAATAAAGAATACAATCAATATAAAACGCTCTGGTCCGGTTTTCACAAAAAATACATTTTGCCTCAGAAACATTATTTTTTTCGTTCTGTGAAAAGGGCAAACATAAGTTTTATAACGTTGAAATAATTGTTATTATGACATTAGACATAATGATAGAGCATGTTAGATATCAGACAATGGTGCTGAATGTGAAATAATATGTCACAAAAGTAGCAAAATTTAAACAAAGTAGTATTTTGACTTCCATACAAAATACTAAATCTTCATGACTATACTAAATATCAATAGGCAACAGAAGCAAAAGATGGTTCAGATATGTAATTATTGGAAACTATACAGGACATCAAAGAAAAGCTTTTGAAGCATTTTCTGATGCATAAAGAGCCTTAAACTTTGTTGTAACGAAACGTACTCATACATGACCTTGATATCTTTTATATAGTCCTGCACAGTGTAGTAAGAGGGAGACGCTATATCAACATGGTAGTAACCAGTTCTAATTAATCGGCCATGGGTATCCGACGGTGATTTCGTAACATATTAGCATAATTAACAATGATGATGATGATGATGATGATGGTGATGGTTATGATGATGATGATGATGGTGATGAGGGTGATGATGATGATGATGGTTATGATGATGATGATGATGATGGTGATGATGATGATGGTGGATGATGATGATGGTGATGATGATAATGATGATGGTGGTGGTGATGATGATGGTGGTGATGATGGTGGTGGATGATGGTGATGATGATGGTGGTGGTGATGATGGTGGTGGTGATGATGATGATGGTGATGATGATGGTGATGATGATGGTGGATGATGATGATGATGATGATGGTGATAATGATGATTGTGGTGATGATGATGGTGATGATGATGATGGTGGATGATGATGTTGGTGGTGATGATGATGGTGATGATGATGGTGGTGGATGATGGTGATGATAATGGTGGTGGTGATGATGGTGGTGATGGTGATGATGATGGTGGATGATGATGATGATGATGATGGTGATAATGATGATGGTGGTGGTGATGATGATGGTGATGATGATGGTGGATGATGAGGATGATGGTGGTGATGATGATGATGGATGCTGATGATGATGATGATGGTGATAATGATGATGGTGGTGATGGTGATGATGGTGATGATGATGGTGGATGATGAGGATGATGGTGGTGATGATGATGATGGATGCTGATGATGATGATGATGGTGGTGGTGATGATGATGGTGGTGATTATGATGATGACGACGATGATGATGATGATGATGGTGATAATGATGATGATGATGATTTGCTGAAACTGATCAAAGCAAGCATATAATTTTGATAGCATAATTCTTTCAAAGAATAATATGCTAAATGAAATTATTATTAAATTATTGTTATTGTTATTTTCTCTCATTTTTTTCTCCTTCTCTTTTGTATTTTTTTCTTTAAAAACGTTGCTAAAAATAACTACATGTATGTGAAATACTGGCTACACGTTTACGATGATATTTTAAAGAACAAACCTGAAACAGTATTGCCAAGTACAAAGGCAACTAAAGCACCAACAAACATGTTTGTACCTAGTAAAACAGACAGTATCTGGTCAACGACGTCACTTCCTGTAATTATATTTACATGTAACATGCGTGCACATTGCGTTCACATGCGTGCACAATGAAAATAAGAATAAATTTATCACATTATTTATTCTTGTACCGTTTATTTATTTGCATATTGTGATTGACTTTTGAAAATCTATTTACATTTGTATTATGCAAGTTTCTAAAGCTTCATTTGGTCATTTGAAGTTATTTATTTCTGGTGTTTTAAACTCTTTTAATTGTCCAAGTAAGTCTGAATCAGGAAGCGTGCGGCATAGACGTTTGTAGATTGTAAGATAGCAAGCTCTATACAGTATAGTACCTCGGAAATGAATTCTTTTGTCTCTTAAAAATATTTCATAACACAAAAATTGTAATGATAGGCAGTACACTTACATTATCAAAACAACTTTTGTAAGATTCGAACATACAGTCAAACTTGTGTTAAAGGCCCTCTCTGAATATAGATAACCCTGTAAATAAAGGCTACATTTTGACCAATATTTTGTCTCTCCCTTTGGTGGTTTGACTGTAAAGAGTTGTGTCCCTTTGTTAAAAAAAAACTTACCCGTGTCTATAGCGCCAGGGTTCCCTTTTATCCAAACCGGAAAACTAAGTCCAAAAAAGATAGAAATCCCAACTATAAAAACATTCCGAGAAGAATTCAAGTCGACATATTGTAAATTTGACAGTCCTACACCGGTTACCATACCTGGATAATAAATAATTAAATACGTGTTCGGGGGTTTTCATATAGACATATAGGCAAAATTAAAACTGTTCAGAAGAATTTTCTTAAAACTTCGCATGTTGTTCGAATAGGACAATATAGAACTATTTCGAGCGAAAAAAATGGGGGTCACCGGCCGGTTATTGAGTTATCGGCCCCTGAACTGACTTTTTTGCAGATGCTTTTTTTTTTCTAAAAAAAATGGCCTATTTTCAAAGAATTTTTAGTCCCTTTATTCAAACTGAAAAATATTAACAGAAATAAGATATGGAATTACCTGTAATCATGTATAGGCCATAGCTCTCATTGGTTTCTTAATGACAATAAACATTCAATTAAAATAATAACTGTAAACCTATAGGGATCATTTAAAGGGAAGTAATACCAAATGTGACCATGAAGACTCCTCCGACAATAGGTTGTGGTATGGAAGTAAATACGGCCCCGAATTTACCCACGCAGCCAAGAACCAACATGATGCATGCCGCAACCTGAACAACAAATCTGCTGCCCACCTGAATATGTAAATTATTATCATTGCATATGAATATCAAAATGTGATTCACTCAGATTCCATTCAGTACAATTATTACTAGGCCTGATAATTACAAAAAATTTTTATTTAAGAACCAACATGATGCATGCCGCAACCTGAACAACAAATCTGCTGCCCACCTGAATATGTAAATTATTATCATTGCATATGAATATCAAAATGTGATTCACTCAGATTCCATTCAGTACAATTATTACTAGGCCTGATAATTACAAAAAATTTTTTATTTAGTTATTCTTAAATGATGAAATATAAGACTAGATGTTAAAATTACTACATGTTTCAATGGACAAGAAGACTCTTAGTTCATTCATAACACCTTTTGGAGATGGTAGAAATACATGTAGCTACATGTATATGACTTGTATGACAGTGCAAACAATTATGCAAGTTGATTAAAATACTGCGAATATGTCTATATTCAAATGTATAAATACACGTTGTATGCTGAATATCTTAGCGGACTATACTAGAAAGGTGCCAGAGTGGTGAGCTGAAAGCTTAAATTATCAGACATATCAATGAAAATTTTCAAGCATGTAAACCTAAGTCATTACGGATGTTTTAAAACACGCATTTTTACAAATGTAGTTTTCAAATCGCATAATTATGACTATGTCTTAAATTGATTTCAAACAAGAAGTTTAATGTAAGCGACGACAAGAGACTACAAGGTACCTTAGTTATACCAATAGTTCCTGTATTTTGACCAAACGAAGTTGTACCTTGTCCCGTACCCCATAGCCCAGCAAGAAAACAACCGAAGCCTTCTACTAATATGGCCCTGTTTATCGCGTGTTGTGGGGGAGGTGGCGCTCCAGATAATTTTGCGCATGCGTAATAGTCTCCAATTGATTCCAACATGGCTGCTAAAACGCCCGCTAAAATCCCAAACACGCTTGCAGCGCTTACAGTAGGCAAACCCCATTGACCTAAAATTAAAATCATTTAATTGTCAAAACCTTCGAACTGCACTTTTTGTTGGACAGTCAAATCCTGCGCGACAGAAGCGTGTTCAAAAACAAAAAATAGCAGAGAACATTGTATGTATTTTATACACATTATTTACCAACCTGGATATGGGAATCGGAACCATTCGGCACTTTGTAAAACTTGTAAACTTCTATCGGTGCGGGCAGCATATCCCCATTCCCCAGGATTGTCAGGCAATGCCCCGGTTGCCGTTAGAATTGCACATACACCCCATGATAAAAGAATTGCATTCATAACCTATATACCATGAGATATAAAATAGTAAAAAAATAGCCATCTTCATAAAGGCCACATATATTATAAATACATGTAATGAATATATAAATCATTTACAATGTATACAATAGGAAATGAAGACAATAAATTTACTAACAGTCTACACAAAAACCAATTTGACTTTATATCGAGCTTTCCTTAATAGGTATTTTGTGAAATGGGGTATGAGGGGTATGCTATATTTATTAGTTTTACTTCTACAACAAGAATTAGTAGTATAGAATGCACAATGTAATTGCATCAGGATGAATGTGTTATAATTTAGCAAGATATATTACAATATACTTATTAAGGTCACTTGGTCTATTGTTATTAATTATTAATAACATTCAAAATTACAACAAGTAAAATGGTTTCCTGCGTGAACATTTTTAATGATATAAAGATATTTCATCCACCGTACATTTAACTATTTTCAACATTTTTTTTTGTGTGTTGGGGGGGTGGGGGGTAAATAAACGTTTGTATCAGGAATATAGTTAACAATAATCGATCAATATAGAAGAAGGTCTTTGGAAAGTGGTGACCGTTGAAGACCGGAGAAGGCCGAAGATAAAACAATTATTTCTTTTTAAGAAAATGATTAAATAGGCCTACCATTTTATGAATAATTCCGAGCAAAAAAATAATAAAGTAAACACACAAGTTTACGCAGAAAATATCTCTATTTATTATGGCAGATGCCACTACGAATATTTTAATTTTGTAGATTTACAGTATTTGTAAAATTTGAGATAGATTTTAAAGAAACATTGATAATTTTCAAACACATCATTCAAGTTTTTGCAACCTAAACGGTAAAATAATTCTAGAAAATTAGAAATATCACGTAATAGTTTTTTGTTCTTAATTAGGTGTAGTTCGGACTAATTCCCTAGAGGTAAATCCGTAACGTATCGGCAAACGGTATTTAGCTAGGTTTTCGAAAAAGGTCAATTAACCAATCATGTACGGTTTACAGATCACATGCTCCTCCATGTACCGAAAACAGGTCACGTGCTCCTCCATGCCTCAAAAGTTAAACGCGTACCAATACCCTGCGGTCTCCAGACCGCAGGGAATGAAACATTCAATAATGATGTAAAGTGGGTCCGTTAAACATACCGGGAACAGCGTGAATACTGGCAACTTTTGTTTTACTCCCGACTCGTTAGTCCTTCTAGGTAGACAACGTATCTTGACATTCTTCAAATATTGACTGAGTATGGTAATAAGCAATATCGTCCTGCAAGAATTATACGTCTATATATGAGCCGTATCACGACAAAACCAATATTATGGGTTTGCGACCAGCATGGATCCAGACCAGCCTGCGCACCCGCGCAATCTGATCAGGATCCATGTTGTTCGCTTACAACTCTATAACAAGTAGAGAAACTGATAGCGAACAGCACGCGGATGCGCAGGCTGGTCTGGATCCATGCTGGTCGCAAACCCATTATGTTGGTTTTGTCATGGCGCGGCTCATATGCAAATTAGCTAACAATAATTAGTATTTTCAAATCAACAATGGTATTATGTACAAAGTACTAACATTTGTATACCAAATTTAATTAGTGATCGGATTTACGATTTAGATTTTTAAATGTTCTTTTATAAATAATGCTTAAAGCTGCATGCCTCCAGATGAACCAAAAACATTTAAAGAAAATCAAACTTGAGAAAAATGTATCAGGATTATAAGACAAGTAAAATCATAATTTACATGTTTTATGCGATTAATGACTGATTTTGCAATACTAATCACCACATTTCTACTGCTTGACTAACGAAGTGAGGGCTGTTTTTGCATATTTTGACCTCTTTTTAGTAATTTACGTGGAATGCAAGCGCCGTTTGTAATGAAGAAATTACTTTCTTTATTCAATTTTAACATAATTTTTCAAAATTTTCATGAAAATCAGCATGGATCTTGATGCATGCTTCTTTAATTTCCGTACAGGACGAAACATTTGTCTATCTGAACAATTTCTTTTTTACAAACCCATTTTATACGGTCACAAAGTGTTCTTTTTATTTCATCCTTCAGAAACGTATTTCCTTTTTTTAAAAATACAATGTATTTTTAAATGGCAATTAAGAATTCATAAAATTTACCGATAATCTAAAATATATATTCAGAATGCTGACATATGCACTTACATTATAGCGATCCACCATTGTTGCGATGCCATTCCTGCCGCGGTTTGGAAGAGAGATAAACCAATTAAGGTGAGAGTGGGTGTGATAACGAGCGGACCAAAATACCGGAGTGCAAAACCCATCACACCTGTAAATCCTATCACTATTTGGAACAATGACGCTATCATTATAGCCCCTTGAACCTTCAAAACAATTGTAACATCATGTGAATTAGCTAGAATAATATGTGTGCCAAGGAATAAGATATTTATAAAGTGTAACGAAGCAACCAAGGTTGTTAATAATGTAACATTTTAACAAACTTGAAAGTGCATGCAAGAGCAGTCTATGTTCAAACCGCACGTTAAACCACTTGCCCCTTATCGCTGCGGATTCGAATCTCGACATGGACTGAGGATTCTTATATATGAAGTTATCCAGCTAGCTTACGGAGGGTCGGTGGTACTACTCAGATGCCCACTCGTGCGGGTGGACACCTTAGGTCTTCCTCCAATTGTAATTAAAGCATAAGACTTTTATTGTGGTGGCGTGACGTAAAACCAAACAAAAAATACGATCAATCAAATTACAAATGTATTTTTACAGTGAGGGCTTTGATAAGTTAATCCAAATCTGAAAAAGATATTTACTCACAAATTTCAGTCGGAGAACTTGCGAGGATTATGAAAAATTAAACAAAAACGAATGAAAACTTGAATTTGAATTAAGAACATATTTTCTGTGAGAGTAGCATTTAAAACATTTACATGTATTTATAAGATCAAAGCACGCCAAGAGATGGCCAAAAAGTGTAAAATATTACTACTTAAATCTTGCTTACTTCTCGAATTCGTTTGTGCCAGATTTCTTGATGACCAGAACTACCGACGGCTGGTAAACCAATGTCCGTGAATGTTACATTATTCCCATCTGTTAAATAGATGATTTGATTTGTAATTGTTTCGTAATTGGTAATGGTTTTGTAATATTTAATGGTTTTGTAATTGGTAATGGTTTTGTTATTGTAATGTTTTTGTAATTATGAAGAAAGTGAAACATAGTCGCGATATATTTTTAGAAACTGGTATATTCTTAAACGTAAAACTAATTACAAAATGACAATCGAGTACAAAACGTTTTGATACACTCAAAATGCAAAGTGTGCCAGTAGTGCAACAAAGACAAAGACAGAAGGAGATATCAATAAGAATTCAAAATACATTTGAGCCGCGTCACGACAAAACCAACATAGTGGGTTTGCGACCAGCATGGATCCAGACCAGCCTGCGCATCCGCGCAGTCTGATCAGGATCCATGCTGTTCGCTTACCAACTCTATTACAAGTGGAGAACCTAACTGACAGCGAACAGCATGGATCCAGATCAGAACAATTCTAAATTTCAAAGCGTTATTTCTAAATCTATCTATCTAAAATTAAACTTTAATCTTAAGAAATAAATACGAAAACTTTAGAAATGTCCAAAAACAAAAGATGGTTCAACTATGTGGCCATTGAGTACAATTTCGGACTTCAGTCTAACTGGACCCAAAACCTATTTGTGTGTCTACAATTTTTCGAATGTTTTGTCTGAAATTCGTGGAAGGCAAAGTGATTTTTGTTCTTTTTTCTTCATATGAATCATAACATTGCCAATATCAATGCCTTGTTTTTAATTCTGAACTGCCGTAAATTTGAGAAAAATAACTAGAGTCGGTTGCCAGAATTTTTGGCTTGGATGTGTAAACAGACCTTGCAAAGACAATGTATGATAGCTGCTCGGATAAAAACTTTAGTTTACAATACTAGCTTAACTTACATTTGTTTCTTGCTTCTGTGTAAGGACATTTCCACTCAGGTTGGTTTAGAATTGTTATGATAGGGACCAGGAAGCTTGCAGATACACCTTGTAGAATTGGCAACCTATTTTCAAAATACATAGCTATATACAAATCCATGTATACAGTTTGTTCATTGAAGGCTATATTAGTTTGCAGAGTAGTGGTTTTCACTACATTTTGCTTGTGAATGGCCTTGAAATTCGGTACAAAATGATGTTTTTTGACATATCAAGCATAATTCATCCGCTCGTTTTTGCTGCTGTATCAAGTTAATAACCCTTGCTATCATTTTCACATGACACTAGTTTTATTTAGTTTTAGTGGTTTCATTCAAAGAAATAGCAGAAGATATAATCATGGTCGAAACAAAACTTATCCGCAGTGTAAAGTAACAGGGTGCGTGATATATAGTAAACAAAACAACTAATGCCGGAACAAAAATGAATAAAACTTTTCAGGTCGCAAATGAATATGATTAGATATCTTTATATAGCATATTAACATATTAACAGCACATCATTATGAACGTGGGAAATCTAAATTCATATAATATTATGATTGTACAATTTAACAATTTACATTTCATGTATTTCTTAAGGTATCTCATATATTATTATTATCATCATCATCGTCGTCGTCATCATCATCATCCTTATTATCATTATTATTTCATTCGCTTTTAGTATGAACACGTTAGTCTTGAAAATGTCTTCTTATTATGGGAATGTCACGGTTCAGAAATGTTCACATGACAGGAGCTTAAATGGTAGACCAAAACGATATACCTCCGTTGAGCTTATTATTATATATGAACTAAACATAAATTTTCAACATTTTAATAATTCTTTCTTGTGTCAGAATAATAATAATAAGTATAATTATCTTATTTATCAATACAATCTCATTGAAATCAGATCAATGTTTTCGCCCCGTTTCTCTCCGATCGCTACCTAGTGAAGGGTAGTGGAGCGACAGTTAGGGCATGATTTTAATGAGATTGTTGTAAATGGGTTTAATTATTCCTGTTGAAACAGTATTCAAGTTATGTATCCGAGTTATACACCAATATAAAACGGGATGATGGTACAGAAAGACGGGCACAACTTACCTGATACCAAAACTAGTCTGTAGGAGTGTGACAATACCAGAGACAAAGAACACTGTACTGATAATTTCACTTAGAGCAACATTGTCACTGTCCATACAATACAGCTTACTCAATAGAATCGGGAGTGATATCAGACTTCCAAATGCTGTTAGAAAATGCTGCAATATCAAAGGTCGAATTAGATCAAAACATTTTTATTTGTACTCATATATGTAGATTTTTTTTCAAAAATGCGTATTTCATCACATGGCGAGCATACACGGACAATGATCACTACTCAGTATTTTACGGTGTTACGTTATGGCCAGCACGTTTTCTCTGAGACGATCGAAGGTGTTAGTGCGCCATTACGATGGTGACTATACGACAATACGATATCAATGCACGACAGCATGATGGTGACAGTCCGTCGTACTGTCACCATCGTAAACTGTCAAAATCGTACTGTCGTACTGTCACCATCATACTGTCGTACTGTCACAATAGTACTGTCAAGTTTCGCGCTTTCCGTTCTTATTTAATGCAATCTCATCTTCTCGACCTTAGGTTATTATGAATAATAGCCGGGGTGTTCCGAACAAACAAAAAACGAGATAAGCGGATAGTTATATGGTAAAAATAAATTATTCGCATTTTTTGCCAAACGCAAAAGAGGCAAAATATAACTCATGTATATGGCTAATGAAAAAAAGGTTTTGGAAACTGTAATAGACCACCAAAAACTAATTAGCATTTTAAAAATAAAAATAAGGCTTAATGAGACTTTACAACATTAGAATAACTGTGTTAAATCATTTGCTGGATTTCGCTGAAATGTTTTTTTTTGTATATAATACTAGAAACACACAAGGAAACAATCTTGTTGGCGTCGTCTCATATATGGAATGCTTTTTTTGGCCAATGGAAGGAGCTGTTATTATTAGTAGTTAATGTCATGTTGTGTTAATTAGTTTTATTTTGATTCGTAAAAATCAAGTTAACAAATATGCTGTTATATTTGTGTTTAATAACTTTATGTAAAAAGCATGTGCATCGTGATATAATTTTCATGAAATTACAGGCTCAGTTTACCAGCTTGTTTTTTGTGTATGGAGTGTGTACTATAATTGAAACAAGACAATTATTTCCCCAAAACATCAAACGTTACAATCTCACACATTAACTAGTGATAACCATTTTTTATTTGATTATTTGAGTTTTTAACCATACATTCACATAAAGCGATGTTTTTCCGTCAATCACTGTCCCAGAAGGATTTGTCATCTCCATGAGACAAAAAGTCAATTACATTCGTAGAAGGTTTCCTAATAATTATTAAACAATACTCAAAGAATACATTACTTTCGGTTTGCGGTTTTGAATTTTAGCTAATTCAATACGCAATTACATACTCAATAAAGGCAGTTTTTATCTCATTCAATTCATAACTAAATATCTTCATAATCTACAAAACATATTAAAAGTGCTTTGGCTTCATTAAAATTTAGGTTACAGTATATTCACTTCATTTTATTTACCTATATAAAATAATACTTTAGATTTTTATCTTATGCGAAATACTTAACGCATAAATAATTTTTGTTAAAAGCTTTAAAGCAGCATGTCCCCATATATATAATTTTGAAAATATATTTAGATTAAGTGAACAAAAAGGGTATTTTACACATTGAAGCAACACTTTCATTCCACGTAAATTACCAAAAAGAGGTTAAAATAAACAACAATAGCCCTTACTGTGTTAGTCACTGAGTAGACTTATGGTCATTTATCGTAAAGAACATGCTGATTAATTTTTTAATCTTCAATCTTTTTACTTTTTTTTTTTTAAATCTTAGGACATTTTTCTCAAGTTTTATTTCTTGAAATATTTCGGCTTGTTTGTGTTTGGGGGCATGCAGATTTCAAACATTATCTTTGTTTTCTAATAAGTAAATAGTGTGGAGAAAGGCGCGGAAAAACCAATAGAAAAAAATATCCACAATAATGGTAAATTAAAAAAAAACAATTGAAACAAATTTGTTCCATTTGTAATCGGTGATCGAAAGGTGAGATTATCATGTTCTCTGTAAACGAGTGGTATAGTGATTGAAACCGTTTGTTTATTTTGGTTTTACGGCGCATCAACACGATTTATGTCACAAATATAACCTCGGGTTTAACAAGCTTAAAGTAACACCATGGGTCAAAACCAACTCACCTGCTGGAGCTAAGAGATGCATAGACTCCAGCCTCTTACGATCAAACAGGGATAAACGGTGGCTGCAATTCTGCCTTTCAGCCACATAACAGCCATACTGAAACTGTTTGTTGTTTTTTTTTGTCTGTTCGTTTGTTTAATACTTGTGTTGAAGTATTCAGTTATACAGATATGAAATTATTGCAACATACTTCACTTTCATGGTTATTTTGTTTATGATTGACCATCAAGTTACCAAATTCTTTGTTTCTCAGGAATCATCACTAAAATAATTGCATACACATGTTAAAATAAAAATTAATGATTAAAATCTGGATAAAGTGTGATCCCTCGGAAGCATCTCTCAAAGGAAAATTTTCATAAAAGGAAATGCAGACTCGGTTTGATTGGGTATGTACATGGGAATAATGAAAAAAGAGCAACATCCCTCACGTCAACTAGCGCCGGCTAATATTTAAGTCCAGGGGCTTTCTGTCGTAATACATTAAATACTATGTATTGTATATGACATATGAGCCGCGTCACGACATAACCAACATAGTTGGTTTGCGACCAGCATGGATCCAGACTTCCGGAATTCAGAAGTTAGATTGTATTAGCCTTAATTTAATTTATACATGTAGATAGACCAATATATGACGAACTTTGAGAACAGGCAACTACGTTTTCAAAAAATATCTTAAACATTGCCTACATTGCAGACATTTACTAATTTATTGTTGTCTAAATCTAAAATAATTGTAAGAGATATTCTAAACATTTATATTATGCAAATTTAATTACAAAATAGTTTTATATTATGCAAATTTAATTATAAAATAGTTTTACAGAATTTCAAACAAGTTTATAATAAATTCATCACTTATTCTCACGCGAATTGTGAAATTGATGTCGCTGCACACTCTGAACATAATCGATTTAGAAAAACTTTCTTTTTGATAGCTAACGTGCAAAAAGTATATAAGGGAATTTTTTGATCCATAGACTTCATTGATAACACATTCGATACCAAAATTTTATGAGGGAAGCTATCGGAAATGTAATGTACGAGACTGTCGCAATTTTGGATTATTCGTGTTTGAGCTAGTGTAACCTCAAAAACCTATACAATTTCGGCAAAAAATTAATTTGTGCAGGAGTATGTATGTCCTCTTATCTGTTTTCGTAGCTTGACCGACTTAAAAAGACTGATCTTTGTCATGTGTAGAATGTTTTAGAACTGTCGCCACAATTTACTGGCATCGGTAATTAAGTGCCGCACATAACTGAAAATAACTTAGTAATCTAAGTCGTTTATATGTTTATTTACAATTAAATACTTATGCTACTATAGCCAGACTTATCTTTCTTATGATAAATTTTAAGAATTAACCAAGATTCTATTACTTTGACAGCCTGTGCCAGATGACTTAAGCATGTAATGTTCGCTACTTAAAAATTAGTGCGTTCTATGCACTATTTCCCAAATAAGGAATTTTTAATAAATGATTTACATTTGGAGGGATATATAATAACCAAATCTTAAAGAATTGTGCCCACGAATCTTTTAATATATCTATATACACATATGTCTGTAATGTACGCGACTGTAATGTTCAATACAATAAAAATGTAACATGGCTTTAGTATACTTAATTTTCAATTAACCAGGACTTAAACTAGTCATTTTTGTGTTATACTTAATCATAGATGCAGCATTAATGTATATATCCTTTGTATTTTTACAGTTATAATCAAATTTTCTTAATTTTGTATAAGTAAGGCTTTAGAATCTAGTAACTGAATATCAGATTCTAGTAACTACAAAAACAAAGATGTAATACGTTTAATATTTATTTTCTTCCAAAGCCAGAACCTGTATGCAAGGTTTTCTTACTGAAATTGTTTAGATATAGATTATAAGTGATATGCCTTTCATAACAGGTACTAGTATTGTAATGTTCACTACATTTCGTATCGAACATGATCTATACATTTGTTAATGTTTTCAGCGATTTTGCTTTTGTTTTGAGGAAATATTCCATAATTATATATTGTTTAAATAAAGTAAATAGGTGTTTGTAATTTAAATGCGTAAATATATATGAGGCAATATTGTTGATTATCATCTAAATCAGTTTCATACCCCAATAACGTTTCACCGCGTTAGTAAAAAAACTACTATTATAAACATACCTATAATAACTGAAAATATTATCAGATACTATTAACATAGTTGCTGACATGTTTAAAATATATCATCTACAATATTATACACATGATAGCGTCTACAACATATAACAACGATGTATCAAACATTACAATATTAGTATCGAACAATACACGCAGATCTTGAAAATTTTCTTCATCTCTACAGTCATAATATGGTGAAATCTGTATTAGAAATAAGTAGCAATCGCACTTACAAGTGTAGAAGAGGAAAAGACAATGTTGGCTCTTTGTAATTGAAATATTTTAAACTACGTAGGAAGCACATAATAATTAACAATTAAAATACATTTTATCTCAATATTGGCTAGTAAGGTGCCCTTTTTGAAATGTTCTGTTCAAATCTTAAAATTTGATGTAGCATTAACACACCGTACAATCAAATGGGCAGACAGCTGTTCCAGCGTCCCCAGCTGTACCAGTATATACATGTCGGCGCGGGGAATACAATTGACGTACGGTAAGTATTCATCTATTTTAACATATCCAAACTGTGTTCGAGTAAATCAATGTTATGGATTCATAGTCAACATCCAAAGAAGCATGCTAACAAATTTCTGGCCCTGTGCAAGCTTTACTTCACATGAATTTTGACTGAAAATAACCACACTATCCGATGAGATGCGGTATTTTTAGTTTGAAGTCACAAAAACTTATATTTTCTCATGATAATTAATCCTTTTAACATACGATTCGTAAACGTCAACATTTCGTCATTAAACATTCCAAACCATACCTTCAAAAAAGCTTTTCTGTTAAAGTTATAAGGTATTTAAGTTTGTGTGTCATCAAAATTTTAGTAACGTTATCAGCTGTTCGCCTCTTTTTAATGATAACATCGACAGCAATTCATCGGCAAGGATGAATAACGCTGAAAGCTGTTCAAAGAAACAATTTTCAGAGCTTTTGTCCTACAGACACTAGGAAAAAGTAAAACTTTTTTGTTCATTTAAAATATTACTTTATTCATGATACTTTCTAATTATATTATATTTATTATTACTTTCTATCATTTGTTGTATCTTAGCTGAGAGGCCTATATCTCCATTTACCGCACTGTATTTCAATATTGATATTGTTCATATAAATGAATGAGTGAGTGAGTGAATGAATGAATGAATGAATGAATTAATTAATGAACGAACGAATGAACAAACGACGAATGATGCAATATACGTATATGTTAAAACAAATTGTCTGTAGAAAGTATATGAGTTGTAATATTCTAAAAATTACATATTATACATTCATTTTTCTTCCTATGCATGTCCTGTTGTTGTTGTTGTTTTCTATTTCAGAAGGCCACATTGGAAATAAGATATATATGATTGTTATTGTATGTTATTAATGTATAACCTTCTTTAAATAAAGATATTATTATTATTATTATTATTATTATTATTATTAATATAAAAAGGTAGCAAGATCTATTAATATGTTTCTGAAATGTTAAATTCAAAGAAAGTAAAGGCAAATTTAACTCTTAATACGAATACTCTGTATTATAACTAAATCCATCAAGTGTTATTATAAATAATGGCATATAGTAGACATGTCCCATGCAGTAAATGGATGTGTAACACGAGATGTCTGCCATGTAAAATGATTTATTTAAAAAATAAAAATTTGAATAATTTTTAAGAATGGTTATTATTTCTATTGCACTATACATTAAACCAGATTTCAAGGATAAATAACAACATGTTTTTCCATGCACTTTCATAATTTGGGTTACACAGCCATTCACTGCATAGGACTTGTCCATCATATGAATTATTTATAATTACAATTGATGGATGCCTTCATTTACAAGACTGAATATTAAGCGTTAAATTTGCCTTTGCCTTTTGACTTAAACATTTCATAAACCTATTACAGGAACTCCACTGAGGTTTATAAGCCTAAAAACATAAATTTTATTTTTTAACATAAAAAAACATGAGCACTAAAACATAAATATTAATAAAATATAACCAAGAAATATAGGAGAAATACATTGAAAATCATATGTTTGTGCCATTCTCAGTCCGATTTAAGTGAAAAGCGTTTAAACTCTTTTCAATTTTGGGTCATTTTTTCACTATTATAATATTCTGGAAAAACGGAGCAAGCTAATGATCTGAAATTTTGCATATAAGTTATTAGTATAGATCTACATCAAATGGAGAAATAATCTCAAAAAAATATTTCCAGTCCCGTCATGTCAAAAAACCTTAGTGGAGTCCCTTTCATAGGTTTTGCTACCGTTTTATATTGAAATACAGTGCGGTAAATGGAGATCAAGGTCTCTAACCTAAGATATTACAAATAATAGAAAGTAATAATAAAAAGAATATAATTAGAAAGTATCATGAATAAAGTAATATTCTTAATTAACAAAAAAAGTTTTACTCTTTCCTAGTTACTGTAGGACAAAAGCGCTGTTGTAAATGCATGTAATTGTTTCTTTGAACAGCTTTCAGCGTTATTCGTTCTTGCCGATGAATTGCTGTCGATGTTATCATTAAAAAGAGGCGAACAGCTGATAACGTTACTAAAATTTTGATGACACACAAACTTAAATACCTTATAACTTTAACAGAAAAGCTTTTTTGAAGGTATGGTTTGGAATGTTTAATGACGAAATGTTGACGTTTACGAATCGTATGAAAAAGGATTAATTATCATGAGAAAATATAAGTTTTTGTGAGTTCAAACTAAAAATACCGCATCTCATCGGATAGTGTGGTTATTTTCAGTCAAAATTCATGTGAAGTTAAGCTTGCACAGGGCCAGAAATTTGTTAGCATGCTCCTTTGGATGTTGACTATGAATCCATAACATTGATTTACTCGAATTCAGTTGGGATATGTTAAAAATAGATGAATACTTACCGTACGTCAATTGTATTCCCCGCGCCGACATGTATATACTGGTACAGCTGTTGACGCTGGAACAGCTGTCTGCCCATTTGATTGTACGGTGTGATTAATAATATCAAAGGCATGAATTGTAATATATGTATTGTTATTCTGTACGCTGCATATATGCCCACGATCTCAGTAAATATGTTTTATGACATTGATATTAATATAAGGACAGGTATATATAACTTCTTTTGTATGCCGGATACATAGTTATACTCGTAATTTAATTCGTTTGTACAATATTATTTACTCATGCTATTAACTCAAGCTTAAATGAACACACTTAATAATATTAAGTTTAAACTTAAAAAATGATTGTATAATAAAATGATAGTAATAATAACTATTACTATTACCAACAACAAATATTTTTACTGGATTACGTAATGTCCGAGACAATTGATGTTCTGTCAAAAAGACTCTACCACAAAATTTTAGTCATGTATTTTGTTTGCAAAGTTTTTTTTCATCACATTATCATTATTGAAGTAAAGTTTAAACAAAACATAAGAACAAATAAATGGAATCATACATACAATTGAAAACAATCATCAAAAATTCGCATTTTAAATAAACGTACTTTTGTAGAATTGCGTTTTATCGCGATAACTTTGCAAGCTCAAGAAAAAAATACTTCAAGCGTTTGATAGTGGAATATTTTGTTATTTTATAAATGTAATGAATACATGGCAAAAAGAAAGTTCTCTGAAGTGGATATGTTTAATATTTCTAATGAAATTCGGAATGTTTTAATTAATAAACTGGTAGTAGCCTACATTACAATAGGATAAATTTTACAACTAGGGTTGCTTCTTTCAGAGAGTAGTACTCGCAAAGTATTTGGTTGATGTTCAAAAAATTTCACAATTGTCTCATTTAAGGGTTCTACTTTTCGAAATCTTCAAAAATAGGCACTATTAAGGAGATCGATTTTTTCGACTTTTGATCTGTCAATTTCACAATTCTTATGAGAATCAGTGCATATGTTTTACATTGTATGTTTGTGCTTCTTGAAAAATCCATGTCTTCTGCCTATAGATATATTGTACGTATGTGCTTTAAACATATATTGTATGTTTAATGCAATAAAATTATTTGAGTTTGAGTTTTTTGGGTGTGGGTGGGAGTGGGAGAGTGAGCAAAACAATTCACCATTAATCATTCGTTATTAAATATTAATGTTTACCTGAAATCCAAATAAGATGCATAAATACCACGGAGGTGATTCCGAAACAGTGAAAAGTATACCATTGAGAGTCCTAGGATCAACCTCTCTCTCTGTCTGTATTTTCATCATTCACTCTACGTCTTAGTTTTTGTCCATATTTATAGTCATGCTCAATTAAATAAAAAAATCACAAAATGTTACAGGTAAATAGTGTATTGTTACATATTCCTTTAAATGATACTTAAAAGCAGTTATCAAATGATTTTAATCCATTAATGAATTCAAACTATTTATGATTTACAACTGCGTTTCATTCAATGAAAATTATGAAATCATGTGACCACAAATACATCATGCGAAACGAAAGAGAATATATTGTTTTTGTGTAATGTGATATTCTCTCCACGTGGGTTTAACTCGGTGTATATAGTCTGATTTTATTGACCTGTCAATTATGAATACATTATTGCACTCATTTAAATATTCGATCCTACTTCGGTTTTGTCCGTTTATTTTACGAGAATTAATATTGAGTATATAACTAATGTTTGGAAAACTCCCACTAGCTTAATGTAGGTTCTCGTAACATCCGCAATAGCAAAGTCGGTTAAGTGATTGCCTAATGTATGAGAGGTCCGAGGTTCGATCCCTTCTTTTTGACAATTTTTTTAGACGTCACTTAATTTCAGAGTTATTTTTACTTTATTTTAAGTATATTATAATGAAAATGATCAAGCGCTTTCAGAATTTTCTACACAGATATAGTCTGATTTTATTGACCTGTCAATTATGAATACATTATTGCACTCATTTAAATATTCGATCCTACTTCGGTTTTGTCCGTTTATTTTACGAGAATTAATATGGAGTATATAACTAATGTTTGGAAAACTCCCACTAGCTTAATGTAGGTTCTCGTAACATCCGCAATAGCAAAGTCGGTTAAGTGATTGCCTAATGTATGAGAGGTCCGAGGTTCGATCCCTTCTTTTTGACAATTTTTTTAGACGTCACTTAATTTTAGAGTTATTTTTACTTTATTTTTAAGTATATTATAATGAAAATGATCAAGCGCTTTCAGAATTTTCTACACAGATATGAAACAACTAAGAAACACTGAATTGTCACGTTTTGTATTGTATTTTACGGCACTGAAATGACATTTATTGATCTTAACCCAAATGAATTTTGAATATTATTAATTCTTTAACAATGTTATATAATAAAGTATAGTGTTAACAAAAAAGTGCAAACACCTATTAAAACAGAAAAAAAACAACATTAACTTCAAAAATTTTGAAAATAGTTATGATTAAGAAAAAAATGCCTGGACATACGCTGTCTCGATCTTACAACACGTAGGGCATTGAGAAATTATATACCCGTAGTTTACCCTATTGCGCTATAACGGTCAGTGTAACTTATGCATAGAAACCAGATGAATTTAATCATATCTTACTGCTTAAATCTCACGGAATTTACCGAACATTTAGCGAATATTAATATATTCTGTGCATTGACCGTATAATCAGTATGGAATTGACAGGTTAATAAAATCAAACAATACATACTTTTGCTTTAATGCTAACTTAAGATGTATTTCATTGACTTTGGTGCATACTAAAAGAAAACCAATGTTCATTAGTCTTATACAATTTACTACTGTATTCACCAGAAATGCTTAAATGCTTACTGAAAATGCATTTCATTTGCTAATTATGTGAACAAGTTCATATCAGGGATCATGCATTTGACAACCCGAACCGTAGAGGACCCGGCGGAAATTAGGAGTAAAATATTTGACCTTGATGCACCACCGTAAGGAAATTTAGCGATGCGCAGGGAATTCCACCCAAACAAAATATCCTATGTGTCAGACATTTACACGTGATCACGTGTTACACCTATATACCAATGCCTGTTTCTGACTAATTAAAAGCGGCATGGCAGGGCCTTGCATATATTTTTGCATTACGGCAAAAGAATTATACAAATATAAAGTTAACACATGTTCATGGCGTTTTCGAGAGTATCATATTAGTTATAAAATTTTTGACAGGCTATACAATATGACCGTATATAAACGGTTGTTAGGAAATATAATATATAAATACAATTTCAGCAATCGTGTATATAAACTTTAATACTGCATGTTTGTAACGTAACTTTTCATTGGATAATCGAGACGTTTTTTTATTTGCATGTAAGATTGAAATATATTTCACTGATTGAACACCAGATGCAATATTTTCACGAGTGGCATAGCCACGAGTGAAAATAGAATATCTTGTGTTCACGAATGAGATATATTTCAATCTTATATGCAAAACAAATAAATTTTCTTTTTATTTCATGCTTTATAAGTGATTTAAAGTATTTTTTTTTACTGATTTTACCGCGTGACGTCGCGCATTCTCCTTTATGACGTCATCACATCATGACTCACATCATCAATTTTAAAATGATTATAGTTCTGTTAGATTTCTCTAATTTTGAAGAAGCAAAATTTACTCATGACGGCATTTGTTTTGCCTGTTATTCCATTTAGTTATGATATTCTTTTCATCGGCATTCAGATATAGTCCGGCTACAGTGAAAATTTTATTTTATAAATTTCACCGGGGGTTATCAGAATATAATCATTTGATATATTACAGTAAAACACTGGAAAGCATGAAATAAAATTTCATAAATCGACGGCAGCCATGTATATAAAAGTACATTGTATACAAACGTCACAATTATTCAATTAAAAATGACGTAACAAACGTGCTTTATTATAAACACATATAGGGCCTACGCAAAATAAAGGTGGTTTGAACAATATAATGTTGCATCATAGGTTGAGGACCTTTCTGTTTAAAATATGTCACAGTTAAATCATATACATATAGATCTACATGCACAGTGCGTTAACTGGAGTGCAGGTATTAGTTACTCGCACTCCAGAGTATGCCCATTGATTGGCTCGTTTTTGATGGGGTTTACTTATTTTGAGAGCAGAGAGAGGGAAAGCGATAGAAATATCATATTCAGATGCTCGTTGATTGGTTTCTTTTTTTTTCTGAGGTTTCATATTGTGACAAGAGGGAACGTGTTTTTTGTTTGACTTTGATACAAAAGAGAAAGAACATCAAAACACTCGGTAATCTGATAAATAAGCCTCGTACAAGTCAGATAGTCTCGTGTTTTGATGCTCTTTCTATTAAATTTTGCATGATGCTAGAATATGATAGCAGCGAAAAAAAACTTATGGGAGGGGTCACCGATCTCATTTCCTGTACGTGAATTTGAATTTTTCCTTATTTCGGGTTATTTCATGGACAGATAATTTAAATATACGTCTGAAAAATCCCGTTTTCCGCTTGTTATGTTCTTCACTATATATTTAAGAAAAAAGAAGAAAAAACTAAAGCTATATAACGCGCAGGTCTTTACAAAAAGTAATAGAGAAAACTTTTCCTGAAATAACTCTTATGCTGTAAAAATGAAATTTACAAATGTATATAAATTGGTGTTCTCAGTATATGATAATATAACACAGTGACATTCAAAGCTGGGATTGTTTTTCGTGTTCTGTTTATCTCAACGAGTATATATCTCTTTTATATGTCTGTATGACAAAAACATTGTTGTACCTGGAACTTACGGTCTTTTTATATCCAAGGTTGAACGTGGATTATTCTATGATAATTTTTCAATGGAAGGGGAACTCGGACATCTATTTGTACGAGCGTATATTTAATAATTAAGATCGTTGTAAACATCAAATAAACACGTTTCTCAGATGTCAAAGCAAGAAAAGGGTTGGGTATTGAAAAGTGCGTTACGTCAAGATAAACCCTCAAAATATGCGTAAATGGTATCGGGCCCATCGCACTGCGTTGCAATCGAATCCACTGCCGTCTGCGTTGAAAACATTTTCTGTCATTTATTTTATAAACAGCAATAATAATTTCCCAAATTTCCAAATTAGGGTTTATTTGTGAAAGCATCATTCATACGATGTGATGCCGTTGTATTATGGGGTCGTTTTGCACACATTTGTACGTGTTTTATCCAAAATTAGGCAAAAGTGGCGGCTCCTCGTCAAATTGTACAGAAGTGTTTGCATAAACGGTAATGAATTGCACCGTTTGCGTGTAATAGGCTGAAAGAGTACATATGTGGGCCCCAGTCTCAATAAGTGTTACCAGTAAAATATTAAAACATAAAACAAAATTCAGTCATATACTTACCAACAACAGCAAACGGCCATATTTTATCCACCGCTTCTGCGACGAATACTGCCACCGACGGGGTCCGCCACACTTCGTTTTCATCTCCGTTATGTTTATACCTGCGCGCGCTGTGACAAAAAATATATCAATAACATTCTTCCTACCAATAATCATTTTATTTTATTTTATGCTTTTCAGTGGATTACTGATTTATCCGTGAAAATTATATTTGATAATTTCACAGTGAAAATTATCAAAATATAATTTCACTCTTTTCAATGACGAAACTACTTTTTTAAGTTTTTTCCCATGAAGTACCTCAATTTTATTTTTGCTGACAATTCTGACAATGTCCGGCTGTTTAAAGAAAAAGCAAAGCTGAAATTGATAAATAACTTAAATGTTAAAAGTAATAAAAAGAAGAAAACTTACTTCTACTCATTCAAATTCCAATCACCAAATTTCGTCTCTAATTATTTTTATTTCAATTTTACTGTCTGAAAAATACATTCCTTCCCCGTGAAAAACTGCTCTTGATGACATTTGGGCATATTAAAGTATCCTACGAGCAATAACTGCCATATGCTTTATGAAAAATTAAAAAGCATTGACAGCCTTCACTCAGAATAAGTAAAACATCACAGCGTTCTTGAGCAAGCTTCCAAGTTTTCCATTTTCCTAGCTCCTTTTCTGAATGTTTTCACATCTGTAAACACTTATTTTTTGTCTGTTACACTCCTCAACTAAGTTTTCTTTCTTTTAAAAGGGTGTATGACTAACAAATCCAAATTATATCCCTCTGAATCTTACACAATTATTTTCCTCCCGTGAAATACACAACTTTAAAAAATGGCTGCCGTTTACATTTTACAAAGCCAGGTCTAATATAAATTCGCAGTAAGTAACAGAAATATGGATGGATGGTTCGACTTTTCTCCTACAAGAATTGTTTGTTTTTATTATTAAAACAAGCGATCATTCATATTTTTTTAATAAAATGAATAGATATCACCGTCATTTAACGTTGATTGGCGGACTTATTTTTCAGCTCAAGACTTCTTAAAATCATAAAAACTTCTTGTTGCGCAGTAAA